ACACATCGTGCGGTGTCACCTTTGAGCGAAATCCCCTATAATTGGTACTGTGGGACTAGAAATCGCTTGACTTTGTGCTTCTCTACTTCAGCTGATCCTCGTGCATGACTGTGATTAAAGAGAAGTAAATGTGGCGAAGAAGGATAAGAAGGGCCACTAAAAAAATATTACTTGTCAAGTTTGGAGCTCTTCCGCTTTTGCATCTCCAATTTTACCTAGTTATTCAGATGCCAATCCCGCACTTGTGCACTCATCTGTTTCCACTACGAGGTGTCCATTTCGCTTTCAAGGAAGGAGGAGAGTCATAGGCGGAGAAAATCGACTAAATGGAAGGATGTGGATGGGTGGGTGATGATGGAGCATTGGTGAAGTGAAAAGTCAAAATCATTTAACCATCCCTCCATTCTTACAGTTATTTTACGAGACAAAGAGAGATCGTTCCTCATACTGGTATGCTCTATTAGGCTTCCGAGAATGTTTTAGTGAAGTACATTGATGAAAGAGAAAAATGTTTGTCTTCTTTACTTAAAGCACCTTAGATGGCTCGTCATTAGGGCCTGCAACTGTTTGCGTCTTACCTCATGGAACCCATGGACCTCATCTTCATTTCCAATTAGGTGTGTAGTTATATAGAACTGCATTTTTTTAATGCAACATGAATGGCTGTGCGGACCTGTGTGCTATGTTTCATGTAGTTTGCTGGAAGGGTGACTGTAACCAATCACAATACATGTTTGCTCTGAGGTGATAGGATTTGCAGTGCACGGGGAGGACGGGATGGAATGCTTCTAAAGTATTACACTAGTTTGCATTCCTGATTGACGTGAGTTTGTTTCACATGAAATTATCACCTGCAATTCAACTGTTATTTAATTGATATGTAAGATATTTTCTTACCTCAATATACTACAGATGCTAGATTTGTGCTTAAAAAAAGTTGCAAAGTCAGGGCAAAAGAGACATTACCTTAATTTTGTATGACATTATGGAATGTCCTCAGTAGAAGGCATTTTGTCAACTTGTGTGTTCAATTTAAGCTTCGTATAACACTTGGTGTGCTTTTAAGTAGTCAAGCACCTCACTTATCGTATTTTACATTTACTTCATAACCTTCCGGTTCCATGTTAACAGTACCGCAGTTTATCGCTAAATCACATATGAAATTTTTTGAAACGCCTTAGATATACTTACTATAAAATAAAATAGCTAGAATTGACAACTAAGCTCATCATTTCTTTGTTACGGTGTATGAGACAGCTTGAATAAGGCGCATAAGTTTATCGCCAGATCTTTTGCTATCAAAAGAGGAACGGATTTTTTTCAAGCTCAGATAAAGCACTAAACAATCGGCATTCTACCATAATTTGTAGCACTAAAAGCAAAGTAGTCAATTAACTGTTTTACATTTTAAAATAAATGTATAATAAGTGAGTGCAAATTTAAAATAATTTAGTTGTGGTTCAAAAGGCATATAAATGATAAAATTTGTAATATAATTTTGCTTTGATGACAGAGACTGCCCTAATCTTCTTTATTGAGGATGTATTTGTCGTTTCCAGTTGACATTTCGTCCATTGGTCCTGACTTTGCAATGAATGCCGCCTAAAGGCAATGATTGTAAGAGGTAGGGATGCGCGTACTATAACCTTTTACATCAATCGAAAACAGGATGGTATATTAAGATATACGCTCCATTCTTCCCAAATTATATTACTTAGTCACTTTATAGAGACTTCCTTCGCAAATCACTAAATTATTTTTTTCTAGGAATTGCACAATGAAACATTCACTAATGCACTTACCAGCTGCATCAATGTAATCGTTCATCGTATCATTCGGATAGTCACTGCACTTCAGCGTGGAAATGGTCGGTCTTCTGCCTTCTTCAAATCCATCACACCATATCACTGCAATATGGTGGGTTGACGAACGAGACATATTATAACACTAACGCCTGCCGCTCATTGCATCTTCGATGTCTGTCTAGGTTTTGGCAACACTTCACTGCTTTAATCGGTATTCAAACCGTGATTAGGTGACGCAATCTTCAAACTCACCCACACATCTCAAAGGCAAAATCTGGTAACAGTGCATCAGTGCACAGGTTATTGTTGCTAAAAGATGGAGGAGAGACGCAAACCTATGCTCCGGAGATAATCATCATCAATGTAGAGGCGTAGCGCTGAAGTGATAAAATAAATAGCAGGATGAATGAGAGTTCCGGAACGTCTTCTCGTCTAGCGCAAGCATACTCCACATAACACTGCTCTCAGCTTCCCTACCTAATCAAATCGGTAGTGAAGCACACTCAGACACTTTCCATGCACCCGATTAATTTGAGTCCATCATCTCATAGAATAGAGCTACTGGCTTGATGCCTTGAGGGTGTTAGTAGGAAGAGACCAATGCATACTGCAAAACAAGGAATTTGTTCAGTCAATAATCTCAATAAGACGGCATCGAATATGAGTTGGACACTGTGTACTAATACCATTCTTTTCATCAGTCCATCTGTAGGCAACGTCACGACATAAATGAGGAGAAAAACAAGTGCAACGATAGGTACAGTACACAAATCAGACCGGTGATATTAGCTGTCCAAG